ATGGAATGGAATGGAATGGAATGGAATGGAATGGAATGGAATGGAATTCTTTATTGGCCAAATGTGATTAGACACACAAGGAATTTGTCTTGGTGTAAATATTCTCAGTATACATAAAAGAAAAGATACATTTGTCAAGAGTCAAGAATCATAACATACAACACTTAAGATAGTCATAGGGTACAGTCAGCAATCAAATCATACTAGGAAACAGTCAATATAAATAAATCGTAAGGATACAAGCGACAAAGTTACAGTCCTACAATGACAAGTGAGAGGGGATAGATGATAAGGAGTGATGAGAAGGTTAATAGTAATAGTAATGTAGACTTTGTAATAGTTGAACAGTGTTGATGGAATTATTTGTTTAGCATAGTGATGGCTTTTGGGAAAAAACTGTTCTGCTGTGTCTAGTTGTTCTGGTGTGCAGTGCTCTATAGCATCGTTTTGAGGGAAGAAGTTGAAACAGTTTATGTCCAGGATGTGAGGGGTCTGTAGATATTTTCACAGCCCTCTTTTTGACTCATGCAGTATACAGGTCCTCGATTGAAGGCATGTGGGTAGTAATTATTTTTTCTGTAGTCCTAATTATCCTCTGAAGTCTGTCTCTGTCCTGTTGGGTTGCAGAACCAAACCAGACAGTTATAGAAGTGCAAATGACATTCAATAATTCCTCTATAGAACTGTATCAGCAGCTCCTTGGGCAATTTGAGCTTTCTGAGTTGGTGCAGAAAGAACATTCTTTGTTGTGCTTTTTTGATGTTAGGTGTCCATTTTAGGTCATGTGATATAGTAGAAATTTGAAGGTCTCTACTGTTGATATTGTGTTGCCTAGTGTTGTAAGAAGTGGTAGTATGAGAGGGTTTCTTCCAAAGTCTATCACCATTTCTACAGTTTTGAGTGTGTTCAGTTCCTGATTGTTCCGGTTACACCACAAGGCAAATTGTATAACCTCCTGTCTGTATGCAGATTCGTCATTGTCTCAGATAAGACCAATCATTGTTGTGTCATCAGCAAACTTCAGTATTTTAACAGATGGATCATTTGAGTTGCAGTCATTGGTATATAGGGAGAAGAGAAGTGGAGAAAGCACACAGCCTTGGGGCACCCTGTGCTGATTGTACAGGTATCAGATGTGATTCTGCCTAGCTTCACTTGCTGCTTCCTGTCTGTTAGGAAGCTTATGATCCACTTACAAGTGTGTTCAGGTACCGATAGTTGGTTTAATATACTTAGAAGAGTGTCTGGATTGATGGTATTGAATGCTGAACTGAAGTCTACAAAGAGAACCCTTGCGTAAGTATTTGGAGATTCAAGGTGTTGTAATGCAGAGCAATGTTAACAGCATCATCTGTCAATCTATTTGCTTGGTATGCAAACTGCATGGGATCTAACAGCAGATCCATGATGGTTTTCAGGTGGGACAGCACAAGCCTTTCAAAGATTTTCATAACTACCGATGTTAGAGCAACTGGTCTGTAGTCATTCAGTTCCTTGATGGAGGGCTTCTTTGGCACTGGGATGATGGTAGAACGTTTGAAGGAGGAAGGAACATAGTACAGCTCTAGTAATCTATTGAAGATTCGATGAAAATGGCGGCCAATTGGTCAGCACAGACTTTTAAGCAAGAAGGGGTTATTTTGTCTGGCCCTAGTGCTTTTCTGGCTTCTGTCTGTGTAATAGATCTTGCACTTCTTTTTCTGTGATCACCAGAGGTTGTGAACCCAATGGATTGGGGCCAGTTGTAGGAGGCCCCACACATTGTTGGTGTGTTTGAGGTGTGAGTTGTGGAGAGAGATGGCTGTAGTTTTTTTTCAAACCTGCAGTAAAACACATTCAGGTCATCTGCTAGTTGTTGATTTCCTTCTGCCTGGGAAGGAGGTTTGCTGAAGCCAGTGATATTTTTAAGAGTTTTCCACATGTTTGCTGGTTCATTTGTTGAGAACTGATTCTTTAACTTTTCAGAGTAGCTTCTTTTTGCTGCTCTGATCTCTCTTGTTAATATGTTTCTGGCCTGGTTGTTTAGCATTCTGTCACCTTTTCCGTAGGCTCCCTCTTTGGAATGACGTAGCTGCTTAAGTTTAGCTGTGAACCAAGGTTTATTGTTACTATATATTTGCAGGTTCCTTGTTGGTACACATAAGTCTTCGCAGAAGCTGACATATGATGTTACAGTATCTGTGAGCTCATCTAGGTCTGCAGAAGCATCTTCAAAAACATTCCAATCAGGGCAATCAAGGCAGGCCTGGAGTTTCAGCTTTTCCTCACCCAACCAAGTCTTGGGTTTAATTGTTGGTTGCATGGTTTTAAGTCTTTGTAAGAAAACTTTATCTATATTACATACAGTACATGCATGTACTAAAAGCTGGGTTTAGGACTAACCAATCCAGGAGCTTGAATCTACCAGCAAGTTGAAAAGGTCTAGTTGCTACAGATTATCTTTTCATGTGCCTGAGGCTGTGATGTTTTGAGACAACCTTGTTCCGTGTGATGCCCTCCAAATATGTTGTTTTTCTGAATCCAGAAGATGAAGATTTGGACATGCTGCTTGAAATTCTGGGAACTGTGGGGTACAATGAAGGCATATTTAAGGGGAATATCGATAGCTTATATAGCAAATAGAAACAAGGAAAGAGAGAGAAAGCAGAAAGCCCTAACAAAAAGGATAGAGAAATTGGAAAATAAGCAAATGGAAACCCTGGGAGATGAGTATATCAGAAACGAACTAGCATTAGTTAAACATGAGATGAACATTTTAGATCAAGAGGAACTAATTAAAAAATTATTATTTACAAAACAAAATTATTTTGAACATGCAAACAAACCCAGAAGGTGGCAGGCATATAAATTAAGAAAAGAAAAACAGAAAAGAATGATATACCAATTACAGGATAAAAATGGAATAACAGAGACAGATCAGGAGAAAAAAAAGGAAATTGTAAGAGAATACTTCAAAGATCTTTACAAGCAGTTGACTTAAATAAAATAGAAGAATATTTGAAAGAAGGAACTCTCTATCCAATATCAGAGGACATAAAGGAGATGTTGAATAAAGAAATAACTTTAGATGAGCTAAAGGTGGCGATTCAAAAACAAAAAAGAAATAAAATGCTAGGCCCAGATGGGTTACCAAATGAGCTATACAAAGAAATAAGTGATATATTAGAGATAATGTTATTAGAGGTTTGCAATGGGGTATTACTGGATGCTAAAATACCAGAATCTTAGAAGGAAGCATACATAACATTGATTCCAAAAGAGGGCACAGATGCCAATCAAACAAAGAATCATAGACCAATATATGGTCTATGATTCAGATTACAAAATTTTTATAGCAGCAATGGTGGAAAGATTAAAGAAAATACTGAGTAATAAAATTCACCCAGATCAAAATGGATTTCTTCCCACAAGGCAGATCAAATATAACATAAGAACAATAATAGATATATTGGAATATTATGAAAAACCTCCAGGAAGCCAAATGGCTTTGGTCTTCCTGGATGCACAAAAGGCCTTTGATAACTTAAATTGGGACTTTATAAAAAAAGCAGATTAATTTGGTGGATTTTGGAGATAATTTCGTAAAAATGTTGAATGCAATCTATGCCACACAAAAGGCCAATGTATTATTAAACGGTGAAATCATTGGAGATAAGGAAGGGGGTCAAACAGGGATGTCCGCTTTCACCTCTGCTCTTTATAACTATTTTGGAAACTTTGCTAGATAGAATTAGATTAAATAAGGAAATTAAAGGAATTAAAATTAAAAATCAAGAATATAAATTACAAGCCTTCGCAGATGATATGGTCTTTGTCATAGAAGATCCAATAGGCTCAGGACCAGCTCTACTAAATGAAATAGATAAATTCAGGAAATTAGCAGGATTAAAAATCAATAAGGAAAAAACCAAAATGCTAGTTAAAACATAGTAAACAAAAAAAAAATTGGAAGACAAGGTGGGATTACAAATTGTAAATAAAATTAAATATTTAGGAATCTGGTTAAGAGCTAGAACATTAAATCTATGAGAGGATAATTATACTAAATTGCTGAAACAGATTGAAAAGGACTTGGAAA